CCTACATTATTTTGCTATGAACCTCAGTGCTCTCTGGTATAGTTTGAGTAGCCTGGGCACCTACTCCACTTGGGAGGGAGACATGTGAGTTTACATTTTGCGCGGAGAAAAGTTGAAAGCTGATGGAGGCATTTCTGGATAACCCAGTGATTTTGAGACGTTTCCCTGGGTGGGTATTCACGGATGAGGGTTGACTTGGGGTGAAGAAAAAGCCGCCATACCTTCGCAGTGGTACTTGCGAATGAAATCTGAGGAATGTAAGCTCTTCTTGTAAATAGAGTCATCTTCCCTGTACTTTTCTTCGATATTTTATCTTAGCTAGAGAGCTGCATACGCAATTTAAATCTGATGCAAAAAAAAAAATAGTACACAAACCTATAAACATTCGGCCTGTATTTGCTAGAGCTCAGATTGAAAGACTATTGGTCTAGGAGATGGATAAATTTTATGTTAATATAGATAACTATCTTCTCTAGTCTATTAGAATACAAAAGTCTCAGCTGGGGACTACTTTTGACTTCAATTCATACTTCAGGGTGCATTTTTATTCTTTTTGAAATCATTTAATGTGTATTCAGCTATCTAGCTATGACACATGACCGGTGCTATGTATACATGTGGGATGACTCTTTTGACATTAGAGAGACTCATACTCTAGATTTCATTTGCAAATACCACTATGAGGTATGTTTGCTTACACAAACAGTCGACCCTCCTCCGTAAGTACCCACCAAAGGGAAATTCAAAACCTTTGGTTATCCAAGCATGCCTTCGTCATCCATGCATACCAGCTCCGCGAGAAATGTGGTTGTGTTTTGCCAGATTCGAACCAGCGATCTACTGTCTCAAGTGGGATATGTGTCCAAGCTATCCAGATTCTACTTGGCAGACCGGCCAAGACGATGTACCGGAGGACGAAGGCTGAACACCTATCAGCGGTGTCCTCTACGAACCTGGGAGTGAAATATTCTCCCAGAGCCGAGATTCAGTCACGACAAAGGGTGAATTTGAGAGTTTTCGTCGAGTTGGCGATCGGGAGGAGTGGTGTTGGCTCATTTTTGGTCGAAAATCCGACTTGCAGAGATTTCATGGCTGCACAACTCAGCGAAATCAACCATCTACACCCCAGATATGAACCGCAGACAGCCTATAACCTGTCTAATGTTCGTATTACAAAAACCGACATCTTCAACATCTTATTTTCTATTTCTCTGGAAAATCACTCCTAGCCAAACTCATCTCGCGGCCCTCTCAACAATCATCTCACCACCTACCAAAGCAATCTCATCCCTCCAAAAGCCAAATCGCAAACTAAGAAGCAAGAGAATTTCCAACCCTCCGCAACTGCCAGCCGCTGTGAAGGTACGGTCGAAATACCGGCCTTAAATGCGCCCTCACCTCGGCCAAGGGCACTAACAACTCGACCTACGACGAATCGCCACCGACGAAATACGTACGATATTTCGCCGGCACACTAACAAGAGCGTTCGACAAAGGCTGGGGCACCGGTGCCTCGGTCTTGAGATCTCAGTCGCGTTTTCGACCTCCGTGGTTAGGGGTACGGCAGCGACGGGGCAAGGCCGGAGGGGTGGACATTCTATAAAGTTACCGGGATAAAGAGATCGGCTGAATGACAGAGGGATGCTGCATGAAGGAACTAAAAGGGGATACAAACTGAGGAGACCTTGGTGGGCGACTGGATGAGACCTCCAGTGAAGAAAACGACCCCTGGATGAGATGAGGAGATGCTGAGATGAGCTAAAGCTGGGCATGAATCAAAGGGAAAAGTCACAGACGGCGAAGGTGTCAAGGGCTCGGGCGCGTGATGGCCGAGGCTGAGGAGGAAATTGCGCTTCGGCACGCCAAAAAAAGAGTTCTCTGGACGGTTGGGCTTAACATGATTCAACACATGGGTGAAGTCTGATGTGGTCCGGTCATTTAGGTGGGACGAGGCACTTGTACTTAATGGTAGTTCACCTGATCCAGCCCGGCCCCACCCGTGCTTAAGCTCCAGTAGAAGTGCAACGGGAATCACTATACCTAGCACATAAATGAACAAAACAAAACAAAACTTTTGGCTGCCTAACCTACACAGCCCTTCAAACTTAACAAACTATCAATTCATCCTCTATTCCGGCAAACAATGTCTCTCGAAAAGCCTGCTTCAGAAACTAAAGTTTGCAGGCATCTAACTCGCGATCAATGTATTGAAAAAAGAACATTAAGAAGACTTGGCTTGACACTACAACATATATCCGACGAGCTTGGCTTCTCAAGAAGCCAAGTGCAACCTGCGTGTGCTCAAGAGATTGAGAATCCCATTCCTCGCAAAGGATGCTCATCTAAATTAAGCGCGGAACAAGTTGATGAGCTTGAGGCTTTCGTCCGGGAATCTCCTGAAAATCGACAGATGCGCTATTTGGAACTAGCAATGGGACCCTTCAGCCACCAGGGATGAAATGAGCATTAACATTCAAATGCCCTCAATAAAATGGGTTACAGCAGAAGCATTGCTCGGAAGAAGCCTCCGCTAAGTGTGGTTAACATGCAGGAAAGATAAATAGCGGTGATAGAGGAAAATGGAGGGTACACAAAGTGTTAGGATGGAGCAGACTAATACAAAACATGTCGCACTCTTTCATTTTAGTCGGAGCTATAGTAAGGGCTTCGATGTAGACTTTTGTAATACAGAGCGATTATTTTTGAAATAGATGTGTATTTTTAGAGAATATCGATTGATTTCTTAAATTTTAAATTTTAAATGAGGACCATTGTACATTTCATTTAGAGTTGAAAACCATCCCCATAATTTAGACTTTCACGGAATATAATTGGATAGTACCCCTTGCTTGCTTAACTAGTCGATAAACTGGACATGGGCCTGCATGAAGACCATACCAATCTAATCAATATGCACAGGGATCTAACCCCAATCATTTTGACAATTGTATATTTGGCATCCTTAAGAGACTATACACTGGATTTACAAGGAAGATGGATATCCGGAGCTGACTCGGCTGCAGAAATACGTGAGACCTCAGAGCAGAAAAGAATTGTCCACTGACTCAGAATACTGGGTCATGCAATAGGAAATTCGAACAAACCAATGACTGGATTTGTTCGGAAAGAATGGGATTCAAGCAGACTCAAGCGTTGAGTCTGATTGGATCAGAAGTATGGGCTCCTGTCTGAACTCGGAAATATAGTTCAGGCAAGATGCTTGCAACGACATTGGTTAATAGAAAGAAAAGCAGTAAACTGTATTTCCAACGTTATCCCTTGCAATGACACCGTTTCCTATTTGGATATCTCTATCCCGCTCAGATATTCTACTCTTGTGCTTAGATGTCAAGATTCAAAGAAACTCAACGTTATCGAAAGTGTTCCTAAGAATACAAGACCATAAAATGTAGAACTCATGTCACCCAGAATATCCATTATATATTCGTCTCTATTGTTCTCGAATTTTCCAGTATACCCTCATGTAGAATAGTATGGCAAGGATAGATTAGAGTAGAATAGTGTAGTGTAGAACAGAACAGACTAGGATATCATAAAGCAGAGTAGCCCAGAAATCTTCCGACTTGGTTCTTATCTTCAGATGAGGCTCTCAGTCCGCGAAATCCTGTACCTCACAGCCATGTCTCATCCTCGGAGGTTTTACAATAGTCATATTGCCACTTGTAAGACTCTGCCTCTGAGAATAGATTCCAAATAGCTCTACGTTAAGCCTGCCTTAGCCAGCGTAGGCTACAGCCAAATACCAGCTTACCAACTTTCACACTGTTCCCTTAATGAGCCCAACTTATTGAGGTTTAGGCTAATTACTAATAATGCTGTATGCACAAGGATTTCCCGACTCAGAATACCTGCATATATCAGTAGCTGTTACGACAGCTTTGTATTATCTTGGAAGCTTCAACAGGTATTTGGAGTGAAGTGTAATAAATATTTATCTGATATTAATCCTAAATGAGGAGCTGAAGGTGTTGCAAATCTAGACTCAGCATGTATGAAGGCTTAGATTTCTAGGTATGATCATCAAGATCAATTGAGTTGATTCAATTGAATACGATTAAGCTCAGTTGGACGAAATAAGATTCAGTGGCATCTGGAATGCAGTGGCTAGGAAATGTTATCTTGCGATAATTGAGTGGCTGGTTGTTGCTAGATCACCGGGAGTTCAGGATCTGTATTTAATGACAGACTCATCTGTATATGTAAAAATAAGTCAACGGAGTATTATATATTATTAATTCATATTGAGAAGAGAGTTCGATATCACATACAACTATCAATAAATTCTTATCCGAAATTGTACACTTGTTCTTCGAGATATTTCCTCCTAGAAATCCTTGACAATTTCTAACAGAAGGCCCTTTTGATAAATAAGGGTTTTTTTCTACATTTCTCTAAATTTATCTTTGTGAAACTAGGGTGTAATATTCATGTTTTCCCTACTTGGTGACCATGTGGTCATTAGTGCACATCATACAAGAGGTAATAGACAGCTAAACTCCGTCGGGGTAACCAAGTAAATTCAATTTTACCCTCACAAAATGAGTGTTATTATAATCATCCTACAACCAATAATAATTTTATCTGAAAAGGAATGAGAATCTTTTTGTCTAGTCATAAAATAGCTTCACTCAGGATCCAAGTATCAGCTGAAGGAGAAACCTTTTAGAGCTAAATAAAACTTTAATTTAAGTAAGATTGTTTGTGTTTTAACATTTGCTAGGAGTCTGAGCTAATTTATCACTAATACACTTAAAGATTGAAATGAATTGTCAGAAAATATCCCTCAAAAATGGGGCCTTCAAATATATAATATATTATTTTAACCGTCCTCCTCACCTCATCACCTCATCAATTTGCATTCTAAACACTTCAATTACTCTATAAGTAAGTTTTCTCTCCATATATTGGTATGAATCCAGTCATAAATTGAAACATAAGAAAGACTTTTAACCAATCCTATTTCTATAGAGATATTCGAAATGAGATCTGCTAATTTTGCTTCATTGTCCTTATTTTTTGGCTTTTTGATTCTGGAAAGTGCTGCAGTCTACGTATGCTCGGGTCGAACTCGAATACCGGATCATGAAGTCGAGGCAAGAGCGAATGAGATTTACTCAAAAGGAGAATCCCTCAAAGCTAGTCGGACTCCTGGTCAAGAACAAATAGAAGATATCTATTTTGATGATGATGAAGATGATGCAGAAATGTCCTTTTCCAGCGACTTCTATCCTCGGATCAAATGTAAGTTGATTTTACTACCTTGGTAATAAAACATCTATTAATATTTCTCTCTATCTATAGCTTCTGGAACATATACAATAACAGTCGATTATCCATCAAAAAAAATATTGGTTACAGAGAAAATTGAATATAACGGCAGACACCAAATGTCATTTTGTGGAAAGCATTAAAGCTTAATATTTTTAGCAATAGTTGAATTATTAGGCCTCCCTGACTAGAAAGTTAGTTTTCCATTTACATAAATGTGTTCAATTTGAATCTTCAAAAAAGATTTTCTTCAATGAGAAGGAAAGTAATTCACAAGATGTGATATATATTCAAAGGATTATTATTAAAAGAATAGTTTTCCAAATAATCTCTATTTAAAGATTTGTGTTGGAAATGCTTATTAAAGAATGTGTCGGAAAGTAGTTCATGTTGCTCTATACTAAGCTGTCAACCTAACCATGACCTGCATCCAAAGCGATGTGAAACCGACAAGAAAGTACATATAGCCCTGCGGGCTAAGTGCGCCAAGATCTCACGTGAGACATGCTGAGCTCTTAACGTTTTACCTGACGTTATCTGTGAAAATATCCTGTAACTGTTTGTACTCATGTAATCATGTACGAGTCGTATTCCTGTAACTATCTATATTCGTGTTGTCTACGACTCGTAAACTTGTACTAGTATTAGTCGCTCCTGACAGTTGCTGTTTGCGATATTGGAACTAATCGTGTTATTACTTCATACTTAGGACTATTTGACACATTAGGCTTGCACAATAGTATGGGGAGATTATATTGTCTGTACGTGGGTGATCGGATGAAGGACGGATGGACTTGTATTTAAAGAGAGATGGAATACTTCATAAGAATCAATCAATCACATTTCTTTACTCTGAGATAAACTTCTTAGTCCCGATTTATCAACAGTTATCAGCACCATTTGCTTTGCTTGACTTCATATCTATATCTTACATCATCCCATCCCATCTCATCTATATCTTTCTGACATTACTTTCAGCTTAAAAATATTCAAAGCGCCAATATCAAGTATGTATCACCAAGATCAGGCAGGCGAACAAGACTCATCTAGGAAAATATATTTGGTAAATCAAGCCACATGGTTACCTTGGATCAATATTATCAAAGCAAAAGCAACAAGAGGCTGCTCAGAGGATGTGTGGCAGTATATTGACCCAAGCAAAACCACTCAACCTAAACTGCCGGAGAATCCTCAAGAACCTCATCCCAGAGACATCAAAAGCACAGCAGAGACAATCCTAGAACTCAATGCCGAGGAATTTTCAAAACTTCAGTATCTCGAGAAACACCATGCCACTCGAGTAAACCTAAACAGAGAAATTATACGGTCCATACGAGAAATAGATGGCTATATCATGGGAAGTATCCATTTTGAGAATGAATTATGGACTCGTGACGTAACAACGACTTGGGCTCTCCTCAGAGCTCTCCAAAAAAGACTAGCGCCGACAGATCGTTCGAGAAAGCTAGAGGTTATCACTTCGTACAATGCTCTTAAAGTCTACAACAAAAACCAAAACATTGATCGATTCTTGTATGAATGGGAGCGGGTTTACGGTCATGCCCTGTCTATGAATCTTCCAGATGTCTTAGAAGAACGTCCTTTATATGACTTTGCCCTTGCGTTGGAAACCATTGATCAATCTTATGCTACTAACCTAGAGCTTAGAATAGATGAGAATGTAAGGCAGCGATCATTAGATCAGTCAGTCAACCTTATTCAACTTGAAGATGTAATAGAGGAGTTCCGAAACTACTACAATAGACATCAAACATCTCGCCAAAATACAATACCAGCCTCTTTTGCCACTTCACACAACGGTGTGAGACCAGGCCAAAAACCATGTCTTTGCGGTAACATTCACCTCTTTAAGGAATGTTATTATCTGAATCCCGAACTAAGGCCTTCGGGCTGGATAGGAAGAGACTCTATTTACCATCAGATAAATAATGCATTGACTGATCCACGAAGAATTAAACTCAAAATATTAATAGAAAAAATGTCAAAATATGACGGTATTTCAAAGGGAACAGGAATGGCCGTTGAAAATATCGCACACATGAGTATTTAGGCAATGCCATCATAAAAGAAAATGATACACAAGAGCTACAAAATTCATATAATGTTAGCTCCTTAAACTTCGCAACATTTGCAATCACAGATTCACAAGATATATTAAAAAACTCTTGGATTCTAGACGGAGGTTCCGATATACACATCTGTAATAATGCAACTAAATATCATTTTGAAGAAACGAAGAAAGCAGAAAGTGGAGAGGTAATTCATGCAGGAAATACAACAATTCCAATTGAATCCTACGGAACAGTCAGGGTTAAAGTAGACACGCCCAACGGAAAGCGACACATTACCTTATATAACTTTGGGTTAGCCCATGGTTTTCTGACTAATGTCGTTTCAATGCAGCTACTAAACGAGTCCGGGTTCCATTGGAACAGTCGTAATCCTACTAGGTTAGAGTGTGAAGACTACTCAATTGCCTGCAATCTCTATCAAGAAGGCGGGCATATCTTATTCAACAATCCACACACTCAAACAAGTCAAAATGTTGCAATGATTGCCCGGCTGACTCATAATCCAAAAATACGTACGCTTACAGAAGCAGATTTACATCGAATTCTATCACACGCAAGTTAGGAGGTAATATTAAAGATAAAAGGTCCGGACTATGGTATAAATATAGACCCTTCCGATCCTGTACCAAAAACCACTCAGTGTGTTCCATGCTTGTTAGCTAAGTCAAAAAATATCATATCCAGACGAACAGGCTCCGAAATCCCACGTAGTGGTCAACCTTTTCATACTCTCTGTTGGGATGCTATAGTAATGGGACCAGCATATAATGGAGACAAGTATATAAGCCATTTATACTGTCCTGATAGTCATTTTAACTTTATTTTTTCCTGCCGACTAAAATCGGAGTTTAAACTCACAATACAGACAGCAATCAAACTGATAAAAACTCAATGGAAAAAAGAAATTCAAATTATCCGGCTAGATGGGGAAACGTCGTTAATTCAAGAATGCAAAAATCTCATCATAGAGCAAGGAATAATATGTCAAATCTCGGCACCTGATACACCTGCACAGAACAGAGCTGCCGAACGTTCTGGGGGGGTGATCATAGCAAAGGCAAGATCTATGGGCTTAGAAGCTTCTTTGCCCACTAACCTTTGGCCAGAGACAATTACCGCTGCAGGATATATCGCTAACAGAACTCCAATCAGAAAATTGGGATGGAAAACACCTTTTGAGATAGTTCACGGTGTCAAGCCAAGCTACGCTCATTTATATGTCTTTGGTTGCCGAGCCTATGCCCTCAATAAACATATCCCTCACTCTCAGAAACTTAATTCAAGGGCCCACCTTGGTAATCTCGTCGGGTACGCTTCAACAAACATCTTTAAGGTCTGGATTCCAAGTAAAAATAAAGTAATAAGGACCAGGGACGCCACATTTGACGAAAGTAAATTTTACGACCCAAAAGACCTTGATATAGGAGCAGTGTTACGTGAATCAGCTGAGGACATTATACAGGCTATTGATGTATCAGAATGGAAAAACTGGGAGTCTGAGACAATGAGAGAAGACAATGACATCATCATAGATGTCCCTTCCAACCCCCAGGACGTTAAAACACTCATAAAAATGCCGATTATAAAACTAGACAAACAGAAATATCAAAATAAAGATGATTCAATCCTTTCATCAAATCAACAAGCTAATCCACAAATTTCGAATATAAAACAAACTCAAAAAGAAATTTCAGATTTTAAAATTCCTAAGCACAAGGAAATAAATTCATCAAAAAACATTAATAGCAATATAGATGTCAATAACATAATCACAGGAAAGCGAAGACGCAAACCAACAGCTTTTACTGCTTTTCATAATTCTTTTTCAGAAGCTAAAAATTCAATTAAACCCAAAAAACTTCATAGAAAAGATCTCCCTCCTCCTAAAAACCGCAAGCAAATGATTCATCATCAGTACTCAACTGGATTCAAAGCAGCCGAGCAAAAAGAATTCAATACTCTCTTCGAGAAGCAGTTATGTTCAAGGATCAACATACAAGAGGCCAAAAATATGCAGGATGAATTTATCATTAACACAGAAGAAATCCTACAACTAATGTGGGTATATACATATAAATTTGACACTGGCGGATATTTATCATCTTATAAAGCAAGACTAGTAGCTCGAGGGGACTTATATCATTCCACGGAAGAAACATATGCTGCTACCCTAGCTGCTCAGGTTTTCAGAGCCACAATAGCTATTTCGACTGTCTTTAGTTACAAAATACGTCAATACGATATAGTTGCGGCATATACCAATGCAGATCTTCATCAGCCAGTACTAGCTCACTTGCCAGATGGATTTGAGGTAAAAAACTGCTTCTTACTTATTAAAAAGGCTTTATATGGACTACCAGAGTCAGCATTATTATGGCAAAATCATTTACAAGATACGTTTCTGAATTTAGGGTTATCTCCCGTGCCTGGAGTCAATTGTCTCTTTAAAGACGCGCATCTAATCATACTTGTATATGTAGATGACATCATCGTAGCTTACCATGAAAGAAACAGTATTAGAGCTGATGATTTTGAAAGCAAACTGATAAAAAAATATCAAACAAAGCCCCTTGGACAAATTGATCACTTCCTAGGTATAAGAGTTGTCAGAGACGAATTCCGACAAAAGATTTGGCTAGTTCAGGACGCGTATATTGACACAATAGCAAATGAATTTAATATTGATACTGAAAAAATGAACATCCAATCAACACCTTTACCAACAAAACCGTTATATCGAAATCCAGGCCAAGCCACAGCTAGGGAAATTAATAGATATCAAAAAAGGGTAGGCAAACTCAACTATCCAGCAGTAACTACGAGGCCAGACATCGCCCAAGGTGTTTCAAAATTATCTGAGTTCCTACAAAATCCATCAAAAGAAGATATGGAAGCAGCAGAGCACATGATGCGATATTTAGTGGGAACCAAGTATAGGGGTATAGAATACAATGGAGGATCTCCCGCAGCTATGAGCCAAGCATTTGTGGCGTCCAGTGATGCTTCGTTCGCAGACGATCCTGAAACGAGATACAGCTCCAGCGGATTTT